AGGATGGAAGTGACGGTTCAGAAGAATTGCCAGAGGTAGTTGGCAGCAGAGAGGACATGGAAGAGGAGGGTGGAGGGGCGGCGGTTGATGCGGTCCGAGAGGTACAGTTGATCCGAAGATGTCCAACAAGTTCAATTCGAGCCCGGAAAGTCCGCTGACATCGAGGACACGTTGGTAGCGGTTGTGCGTCGGCCTTGCGGACTGGGCGCAGTTGTGATTTGCGGGCTTCGCAATTCGCTTTGACGGCGGCTATGCGGTTGGCTTCGTAGATAGCAGCGCTCGTCTTCACAGTTCTCCTCCAGGTCGGACGATCGCGGGCGAGCTCTTCCCAGTTGGTCGGGTTGATTTGAAGGCGCTTCAGGGAGGACTTTAGAGTGTCCTTGTATCGACGAATTTGACCACCTTGGCGGCGAGAACCCGTCGCGACGTCTCCGTAGAAGAGTCGTTTGGGTAGTCGCTCGTCGTCCATGCGCACCAGGTGGCCGCTCCAGCGCAGCTGCTTCTGTCTCAGTATGGTGTAGATGCTGAGGATTAAAGAAGAAGACACGATCGCCGGGACAAGAGCTTTATTAGCCAGACGTTTCGGATTCCTGCTCGAATCCATCATCAGAGACATAAGCAGACAAGGGTCTACCTATGTCGCTGATGATGGATTCGAGCAGGAATCTGAAACGTCAGGCTAATAAAGCTCTTGTCCCGGCGATCGTGTCTTCTTCTTCAAGACTGCTTCCTGGGACTCGTCTCTTCGCTTCTATTGGCAATGCTGAGGATTCCCGTCCGTTCCAGAACATCAGTGTCGGGGATACAGTCCTGCCAATTCAGCCTCAGGATGCGACGAAGACAACTGAGGTGGAAGTGGTTCAGTCGGCGTGCCTGCTTTGTGTACACCGTCCAAGTCTCCGCTCCGTACAGCAGCGTCGGCAGGATGATGGCCTTGTATCTCTTTAGCTTCGTGGTCATTTGGAGACCGTGACGATTCCAAACGGTGCTTTGGAGGCGGCCGAAGGCTTGACTGGCTTTCGAGATCCTACTGGCGACTTCGTCATCGATCTTGTTGTTGCGGGAGAGGGTACTGCCCAGTTACGAGAAGTTCTCCACCACTTGCAGTTGGGTCCCATTCACGCTGATTTGCGGCGCGTTGGTGGGAGTGGCTGTGTTGGTTGGCGGCTGATGCATCACCACCGTCTTCTGCGTGTTGATGACCAGACCGAAGTTCTCGAAGGCGGCGGAGAACAGGTCCATGTTGCGTTGCATCCCCTCTTCCGAGGTGGTGTTCAGGGCGCAGTCGTCGGCGGAGAGGAGTTCGCGAACGGTGGTTGTGGATAACGCGATTGGAAGTGCATCCGTCGTTGATTCAGAATGTGACCGTTCGTCCTGTAGGCGATGCGGATCCCGGGGTGCTCATCACGATAGGCGTCCATCCGCATGGCAGAAAACATAAGACTAGAGAGGGTAGGCGCCAGCACGCATCCCTGCTTCACTCCATTGGTCACTGCGAATGCCTCTGAGACAGCTCCGTTGTCCGTGACTCGCGCCATCATACCGTCGTGAAGCTGACGCACCATCTGAGTGAATCGCTCCGGACAGCCGAATTTCTGCATGATCTTCCACAGTCCTTCACGATTTACCGTGTCAAAGGCTTTCGTCAGGTCCACGAAGGTAGAATACAGGTGGGTCCGCATCTCCTGGCACTTCTCCTGCAGTTGACAGGCGGCGAAGATCATATCCGTGGTCCCGCGATGACGACGGAAGCCGCATTGGCTTTCCGGCAGAAGGCCCTGTTCCAGATGGCTGTTCAGGCAATTGAAGAGGATGCGAGCGAAGACCGTCCAGGCGATTTTCAGCAAGGAGATGCCGCGGTGATTGTCGCGGACTTGGCGATTCCCTTTTCGCTTGTAGAGATGCACGATGGCTGCGTTCTTAAAATCTTGCGGGACTTCGCCTTGACGTCGCATCTCCTGGAAGAGCTCAGTCAGGCGATCCATGAGTTGGGGACCTCCGTGCTTGTAGACCTCAGCAGGCATTGCGTCCAATCCGGGTGCTTTCCCTCTGGAGAGCTGCTTCACGGCCCTGATGGTTTCCTGGAGAGATGGCGGGAGGTCGAGGTCCACGTTTGTCTTCACTTGCGGCAAACGCTCGATGGCGACGTCAGAGATAGGGAGAGACGGTTGAGAACGCTTATAAAGTGCTCGGCCTATCGCTGTAGAATTTGTGTTTTCTCAGTCGGGAGGGTGCTGTCGTCAGCCCTGAGGAGAGAAGCGGAGCCTTTCGTCGGCGGACCGTAGACAGCTTAGATCGCGGAGAAGAAGTTCTTCCACTTGTTGCGGTCTGCGTACCCCTGGATCTCCTCAGCTTTGCAGGCAGTCCAGGCGTCCTGCATCTCGCGCAGTCGTTGCTGAAAATGGCAGCAACTGCGGTAGAAAGCAGCAATGCTGTCGTCGGTGGGGTGGTCTACGTAGGCTTTGTGTAGGCGGTTCTTCTCGACGAGCAGATTGCTGATGACGGCGTCGTTGTCGTCGAACCAGTCCTGGTGTTGGCGGCGTGCGCGACCAAGAACGGCTAGCGCCGTCGACTGGACCGTGTCCCGCAGTTGACACTAGCGGATCTCCACGGAGGCGTTCTCGGCGGCGGCGGCGGCGTCGCCAGCGATTGGAAGGTTGTCTAGCTATTGAGTTAGTTCATTGCTGAAATGAAGATGGTGAGCGGGCAAAGACAACAAGGCAGTATTCAGCTTACCTGGGGGTCGCTTACCTTGTGGTCTCCTGCGAGGCTGTAGGCGAATACGCATCTTCGAGATGACGAGGCGATGGTCGGTCCACCCGTCAGCAACCGCGATCGCCTTCGTCACCAGCACGTCCCACTGATCTCGCCTCCGGACGAGGACATAGTCCACCAGGTGCCACTGGCGCGACCGAGGATGCCTCCAGGTGGCCTTCTCTCGCTCCGGCAGACAGAAGAACGTATTCGTCAGGATGAGGCGTTGTTCTGCACAGGTGCAGAGAAGCAGCAGTCCATTGTCGTTTGAGCCGCGGAGACCGTGGGGACCCGGCACTCCTCTCCAGGCAGTATGGTCTGTGCCGACGCGGGCGTTGAAGTCGCCAAGGACAATCAACTTGTTCGCCTTCGACACAGTCGTCAAGAGGGCGTGCAGGTCCTCGTAGAATTTGTCTCTTGCGTCGGAGTCGGGGCTGCTCATCGGCGGAGCGTAGGCGCTGATGATGTTGGCGAATTGGCCTCCTCAGAGAGGCAGACGGAGGCTTATCAGACGATCGTTGATGCCCTGCGGCAGACAGGGCAGTCGTCCCACGATGTCGTTCCGGATGGCGAAAGCGACACCCGCGTTTCGTGGTTCTGGCAGGGGTCGACCGCTCCAGAAGAAGGTGTAGCCGGCACACACCTCCTCCAGTTGGCCTTGTTCGGAGAAACGGGTCTCGTTGAGTGCGGCGATGTCCACCTTGTAGCGCGCCAGTTCTCGTGCCACTAGCGCCGTCCTCCGTTCCGGTCGGTTGCTCCTCCGGTTGTCTAAAAGGGAACGAACATTCCAGGCTGCCAGAGTGAACGGACTCACCCTGCCAGTCTGGCGACGAGTAGGTTGAAAACTAGGACAAGGGGAAGAAGGAGACTAGGCTCGACGAGGAAGAGAGATTTTTGTTGTTGTTTCGGTTTTGGCTGTTTCGACCGTGTGTTTTTTGTCTGCGGCCACGGCCAGCCTACAGGCAGCGTGGTTCCCAGCAATTCTTAGGGCAGCTTTTCTAGCCCCCTCCTCCTCGCGAGGGCAGGCAGCGCACCCCCTTAAATAGGGCTGCCGGACTCCACTATGGGCCACGACTTTTTGTTAGTGAGAGAACGACCCGAATTAGCCTGGGACCTTGGTGGTGATGTGGTGGAGTTAAGTAGGAGAGAGCCAACACATCAACAGTATGCTATGGGACTTACAGCTAGAATGGACAGGCAGACACAATCATCAGTCAGAGACAGAAGTAGGAGGACATCATTCAAATTCAAGCACAGTAACACCTAGCTGTTAGCAGAGAGGCATAGATTGACAGGCAGACAAAAAGTCGCAGCAGGCATCAAGAGCGGCAGACAGCACAGGAATTAAGCAGGCAAATAAGAAGGCCAGTGTGACAAGTTAGGAGTGACATCATTCGAGATCAAGCACAGTTTTCCTCTAGCTATTAACAGACAGAGGCACGGACTAGCATATAGAGAACAGGCAACAGGAGCAGCATACAACACGTAACTTAAACAGATAAAATGAAGGAACAAAGGAAATTCACTTACCTGAAGAATCACTTTCCTGGTGGCCTCCTGCGATGGTACAGGCAGAGCCTCGTCTCGACGATGTTGACGCGAAGATCCATCCGGCCGGCGGAGATCACTATTGCCAATAGAAGCGAAGAGCCGAGTCCCAGGAAGTAGTCTTGAAGAAGGAGACACGATCGCCGGGACAAGAGCTTTATTAGCCTGACGTTTCGGATTCCTACTCGAATCCATCATCAGAGACAAAAAAGCAGAAACGGGTGGTTGCTGCACAAGGGGCTGCGGTATTTATAGGATGCAGTAGCCATGCTATCGCATACCTATGAACTTTCACGGCTCCCCCCTTCATCCGAGATCGTCGCACGTGGTGTGATCACTGCTTGATGGCCGACATTCGAGTCGATAATTGCTGCAATTTCATCACGTGCGTTGGATGTTGGCGTGATGATTGCTCGACCAGCTGACGCGTTGACCCGGGTGTTGGGAAGAGTGTTCACCAGTGCGCTCCTCGCGTGGCCCATTGCTCCGCCTAGACAAAGTCTCAGCACGCTGTATTGAATGGGAAGATCGGTGCACTTGTTGATGGACTGGGGGCTCCTCGACTGAGGAGGCCGAAATTCTCGCAAGAGGTGACAACCGAGTGAGCCGGGAGCTACTGGAATCATAGTTTACTGGCCCCCAGTCCATCAACAAGTGCACCGATCTTCCCATTCAATACAGCGTGCTGAGACTTTGTCTAGGCGGAGCAATGGGCCACGCGAGGAGCGCACTGGTGAACACTCTTCCCAACACCCGGGTCAACGCGTCAGCTGGTCGAGCAATCATCACGCCAACATCCAACGCACGTGATGAAATTGCAGCAATTATCGACTCGAATGTCGGCCATCAAGCAGTGATCACACCACGTGCGACGATCTCGGATGAAGGGGGGAGCCGTGAAAGTTCATAGGTATGCGATAGCATGGCTACTGCATCCTATAAATACCGCAGCCCCTTGTGCAGCAACCACCCGTTTCTGCTTTTTTGTCTCTGATGATGGATTCGAGTAGGAATCCGAAACGTCAGGCTAATAAAGCTCTTGTCCCGGCGATCGTGTCTCCTTCTTCAGGAGATCACTATGTCGTGTGAACATGTACGCGCACGGATACCCTCACCTGGTTTAGCCCGCCGGTCGAGGCGGTTGCCCGGATTGTGGCCGCTGAGCAGTGCCCAGCTACGTGCAGCCACAGATGAGAGTTTGGTGCCAGCAAATGGACGCCAGGCGTAGTCTCACCTGCAAGTAAGTGAGCGACCACTACGACCATCACGTGAACCCACCGCTGACACTCCTACACCCCATACCGTACCATACAGACCACGTTAGAAAGGAACAACTGAGCCTGACTCTGAGGGGGAGAGAGAGAGACAGAGAGAGAAAAGAGTATCATTTACAACATTCAATAAAGAGGGCTCCATGCACTGTAGTCAGAAGGTGGGTTAGCAGATTACAGTGATTGACCGATCTAATGAGATGTTGGCCAGAATTCTGAAATGCGATTTTAATTAGGAAGGATTACTTAGGTGGGGTTGTAATACTGATTATCTCGTGGGATAATCCTATAATATTTCGGACGCGACAGGATGTCGGCTTTTGAATATATTTCTTTTCAATCTCTTGTAGAGGACTTATCGGGTAAAAATAACTACTTGGGTAACATGCATTTTTCACATTGATTTGTTGATGGTCCTATGAATTCAAATATATTTTATAAAAAAGATGAGCAGGAATGTTTTTTCTTTCACTCGTTTAATGGATAATCAAGTCAACCTCAAATTTTATA